TCTCTCTCTCTCTCTCTCTCTCTCTCTCTCTCTCTCTCTCTCTCTCTCTCTCTCTCTCTCTCTCTCTCTCTCTCTCTATGTGTGTGTGTATGTTTCGGAGTTTCAAACGACATTATTGTTTCTACGTCACACAAGTCGTAAATCCGTATTGGATTTGATTAAATGGATTCGTTCGATCAGACTCGTTGGCTTAATGAAAGGAAAATGTAAAAGTGAGCGCACATGAGGAGGAAAGTAAAAGCTCAAACAAATCCAAAAATGCTTTGAAATCGAGGCAAACGTTTTACGTTGAGTGCTTTTGCCATATTGATGCGATGCTGCAGGTACAAAAAGGTTCCGCAAAACTTGCACACAAAAACGAACATTAAACTCTCTTTTAAATTAAATAAAACAAAATCAATTTTCTTTCTCTCTCTCTCTCTATCTCTTTTACGTTCGATCGCTTTATTTTTTTCTCTCCTCTTTTTACGGAATCGTTGTTGTCGACAGAAGAACGAATCAAATAGAGTGCATGGCATTGAAAAAGTTTTCCTTTTTAACTTTCTTTCGACCGCCCCTCAATGCACTACAAAGTCAATCTGGAGCAGTTAAAATTCACCATTCAATGCTAATGACTTTCATTTGAACACTTATTTGCACTGTTCAGATCAAAGACAGCAACAAAAACAAAAACAACAAGTAGAAAAAGAGTAATCATTGAAGATCAAATACCATTTGGGAAGATTCTTAGTACACAAAATCGTCATCGTCATCACTGTGCTCGTCGTAACCTTTTTTTTCTATATTTTTTTCTACTCAACGTTTTTATGCTAAAATCGCAACGACAATATGTTTACACAGTAAACACAATGATTCTAGCAATGTTGAGATTTGACACTTAACTTGATTTTAGTACCATTTGCTCTAGAAAAAGTTCAAAAGTTCTATAATAAATACATGAAGCTTTGATTTGTGATTTAGTACATTTTGAACTTTTTCTAGTAAAAATGGTACTTAAATGGATTTTAGTGCCAAATTTCATATTGCGGTTCTAAAAGTTAGAACAATCGTGTTTACTGTGTACTTTCCTACGTTTGTGATGCAAACGGTCGCCGAATGGGAACTACACTACTTTGAGTACTATATATGAACCCGTGAGCATAAAAACGACTTATTAAACAATCGCCGAACAAAACGATACAAGAAAAAACTACCGAACAAAACGTACCACAGCGGTAATGTGTAGCACAGCGGAATTTCGTTTTGAACGGTACCGTCCAGCTGTGTTACGTTTTTAACGTGTGTTTTGTCTGGTAGTTTTTTCTTGTATCGTTTTGTTCGGCGATTGTTTAATAAGTCGTTTTTATGCTCACGGGTTCATATTTGAGTGAACTAAATCAAGTTCAACTTTTGTCACTCTCCAGCAAAGAACCAAGAGAACATTTCAGATGTGTCACTCGAGCTAATCAGCTTGGATTAGTTTTGCCAAAATCTGCAGTGGTTTTGTCATCTGTTAAGCCTAATAAGTGACTGAAGTTGCTGAAAAATGTTCGAAAATATTAGAGCTCTTCAATTTTAATTGATTCATATATACTTTTCAACGAAAATTTATGAACATTTGCCCAATGATGTCACCTCCCTTCACTTCTGCGGCACATTTCGCCCTTCGAAGGGCTGTTATCTATTTTTATCCGTGGAGATGATTCATTAAGATTGAATTTATTGTGCAATAACCGAATTCATATGACTTTATATGGCCATATAAGAACATGAACTAAAATTTAAAGAGGTCTTAATTGAATTTCAAATCCAATTTGCCAATAGTCATTAATATTACTGCTCTATAAAGTAAGTGAGTCTTCTTAGCAGTGACCTTCATAAGGTCACTAAATCATCCAACAAAAAACAGTCAGCATTTTTTGAAGTGGCTCCGTGTCAAACATCTAGAGCTAAAATAGATATGGTTACGCAATAAAAGTTGGTCAAATATATCAAAAACTTGAAAATAGTAAAGTGGTTGTAATTGAATTTCCATGACTGTATCAATTTGGATTCAGTACCCCCAATATGAAAGGTGACAGTTGATTCAAGCGTAGGTTTTTTTCTTCTCAAAATTAAACTAGTATCTTAAGTGTTCGGACGTCATTGGCGTTGAAGATTAATCCCTACGATTTGGACGTAAGATTGTAAAACTATTGCATCATGAAGTTTAAGGAGTACCTATTGATATTTTTTTTCCATCAAAAATGACCAAAACAGATTTTCATTATAATTTTCACAATTTTAATTTTTGGTGATTGCCTCATTGCTCTTAGATGAAAATATTTAGTAATATTTACCTATAATTTATTCAAAATCGCTATAGAATCAAATTCAAATCGCCGAATTTTATTCTCGCACAGCACATTACGATCGGACACATTTGAATTTGTTTTTCATTCTATTTTCAATGGGCATTCTGAATGCAGAAAAAAATACAGTTAAATTCAAAACAATCGAAAGCATCACATGACAACGTGCGTAATGTTCTAATTCGTTAAGTTGATTTTAATCTACCACCATCGAAAACCAAGTGCCATTGTTACAATTATAATTACGTGTAAAATTATCAATTTGTCAAAACAATTTATTGATAAAAATCAAATGGTTTCTGAAGAACCACTTATGATTCAGAATCAATAATCGAATCATCAATTTGTTTTCACGATTTTGATATGACTTGAGTAGCGGTGGGGGTGTGCGTGAGGGAGGTGTTTACATTTTGGCTTTCTTGTTTGACCTGATGCAAGCCACTGCATCTCATTTCCGAACGTATTCTATTGCAGGATTAGCGTCAAATTTAGCGAATAAGCTTGGAAGAATATTCATTAAAAATATCACTTGATCCTCTTTGTGCGTTTGCTGTGCGATAGATTCATTCCGAAATTCTTTTCTAATTCTTTGGGAAGCCAGTATGAATAATAAAATACGAAGTGCCTCCCCGCAAATGTGTTTTCTGAAATCCACTAATTGTGATAAGACTCGCGTGATTTTTTATTGTTGTTTGACTTACCTCTCAAACAAAATACGAACTCAAATATTGCCACACCTGTGTATCGAATTTAATGAATGTAATTCTACGTAGCAAACGATTCTCATTTCACTTCAGAGTGTGAATGTATGAATTCGTATTTTGTGTGCTCTCTCTCTATATATAGAGTCACTTGGTTGAATGTTTCCATCGCATTCTGTACCAACATTTCAAACGGTTCAGTGATTCATTTAATATTTCGTCAACGAAATTTTTGTTGTTGAATTCAAATAGAAAGCAAAAAATGTTCAAATCCAACATCGTTCGATTATTATTATTGTTTAGTATTTGTTATTGTGAGTTACCAGTTAATGGGCAAAGTTATAAGGAGAAAAATCGTCTTCAGCTGCATTATTCGATTCCGTCGGGTTGGTCAAACGATCCAAATGGATTGATTTATGCAGGTGGCTACTATCAACTATACTTCCAATACAATCCAGTGGACACGGTATTCGGTCCAATGCACTGGGGTCATGCTCGATCACCAGATCTAATCCATTGGGAGAACATGCCCATTGCATTGAAACCGTATGAAAAAGGGGTTATATACAGTGGATGTGCCATACTTGACAAGAATAACGTTACTGGATTTGCGGCGTTGAACAATTCAGATGCATCATCAACGGCGCTCATCGCACTTTATACACTGGATGACAATAAAAACCAAAGTCAAGCGTTGGCATATTCATTTGACAATGGTACGACATGGACACAATACGAGGCAAATCCAGTGATTCCAAATCAGGGGATTTTGGATTTCCGTGATCCAAATGTTTTCGAACGTGACGGAAAATTCTATGTGACATTGGCTGTACTAGATCATATTGAGTTCTACGTTAGCTCCAATTTGTTATCGTGGGAAAAAGTCACAGATTTCGGTGTGTCGCCGGATGAAGGTCTCAAAATTGGTGTATGGGAATGTCCAGCATTATTAACACTGGCCGATGAACATGGCAACAAGCACGATATATTGATTGTTTCGATGAATGATGAAGTGCACGGCAGTAGAACGCAGTACTTCATCGGTCAGTTCAATGGAAGCAGATTCAATACGTACGATAAGTCGAGAATTCTATGGATTGACAATGGTTTTGACAACTATGCAGCCGTACCATATCCTAATGATCCAGCCGAGCGCGTCGTATTGATTGGTTGGCTATCAAATTGGTTATATGCACAAAACGTTACGGCATCGACATGGCGTGGCCAAATGACCATTCCACGTGAAATGGGACTTCGAACAATTGATGGAGCTCTTCATGTCATTCAACAACCCGTCGTCGAATTGAATAACATCATTGATCCAGCCAGAAATTGGACATTGTCAGAACCATTCAATTTGACTGGAAACCATATTATGGATGTAACATCCAAAATTCCATTCAATACCGGCTCACAGCTTATTCTGAACTATGAGTTTGATATTGAACAGGTCGAAAATGGTCAAATTGATTTGCGTTTCGGTAATACCAAGGGTGAATTTGTGTCATTTAATTACAATGTTAAGGAACGGACGTACGGATTTGATCGGAGCAATTCAGGTGATGTTGCATTCCATCCAGGATTTGCCGGCCCATTGCAGCGTATCAAACGAATCAGTAGCAGCCAATTACTCAGTGGGAAAATTCTTCTCGATACAGCATCTATTGAAATATTCGCCGATGACGGTTTGAACACAATCAGCGCATTGTTCTTTCCGTCGGAACTTTTGGAGAAAATTCATTTACGATCATCGATTGATGCTGGGAAATCAGTAAAAGTGTCAAAGTTGCGTGTTGCAGCACTTAAAAGTATTTGGTCAAATAACACCATGTCATCACATGGCAACAATATGAACTACAGTCCACAACATATATTCCTACTTCTTCTCATTATTTATGTTTGCTCATTTTTTTCTTTTGTGAGCAATAATTCTCAATAAATGTAGTACTGGTGTAGTTTACGTTGTCGCAGTGAGATGACGCTCCAGTTTCATAAGACAAAAAAAAATAAAGACTTGACTAAACACAATTATGTTGATATTAATGATTTTTTTTTTTGTTTCTCTTACCATTTTAAGTGATATTATTTGTCGATAATGAAATCATTTAGGTTCACAATTATTTGTAATGCCAAAACTGAAATTGGTAAAAAATCTTATTTTATTAATGAAATTTTTTTTGGAATCCAATGATCATATTTGGTATTATGAGATACAGTCATTGAACTTTACAGCATATGATATTTCTTAATATATTCTTTGTGTTGATGAAAATTTTGGATTTGTTTTGTGGAAAATCGCAAAAAACCACAATATGACGGGGAAACTTAAATTGTAATGTGAATATCATCCCAATAAATGTATTTAAAAACGATCATACAAAGCGAAATGTTTTATGAAATCACTCAGTAGAACACTTCTGGATCATTCCCAATCGTTATTTGTGGTAAACACACAAAATCAACTCAAAACATGCAATCAACGAAATATTTATGAATGAACAATCGATTTTTTGATTTGCCTGACTGATTGCCAAAATATCAAATTCACTTTGTAGAAAAACTGAGCTCTTTATTTTGGTTTCAACTCTATGTATTGAGCGAACAAAGTCTCATTTTCTTTGAAGACCATTCAAATGTTTCAATGAAAACAGATATTCACGTAACTTAATCAATTTCATGGCGTAACTACTCTCACCACAGATGGTGATAGCACCATTCGTACTTGACGCATTGGAATGCGACCTTGACGACTGTGTGAATGTATTAGTGTCACATTTGCAATAGCAACAAACAGTACTGCCTCGCTCTTTCAGAATTCAAGTTGTTCTTCATATCTTAAGCCATTGTACGTTTCGCTATTTTATACGGAAGAGGCACACGTGCGATACGCAATATCAACTCATTTCAAGCGAAAAGTTTCCAAAAATTAATCGTACAGATTGTGTCGATGCAAAAGTTTCGTCGATGCAAAAGTACTATTTTGGTTGTACACAATCGAAAACAAACAGAATGTAATCATTTCCGAGAAAGCAAAAGTACTCACGAATTTCCTTAGGACAATAACAGAAAAAAATGGGCATAGAATGCTTGTGACATAGATAATTTTTCTGGTTTATAGAAAAAGTGGGCTGAATACTAACGTCATTTGGCACATCAATCAATTTTTTTACACGGTAGTTATTTCATACACTTCATTCATTTGTCAAATTGTTCGAACATACTTTATCGCTCTGTTTTGTTGTTGTTGTTGCTCTCAGTTTTATTTGGAGATAAAAGAATGAAAAATGTGAAGAATGGATGAATGGTAATTGAGAGTTTCCTGTTTTCAACACCATTATAAATCAATAAAAAATAAAGATAAAATAGAAAAAAAAAACAATTTTTACTTCCGATTTCATAGCCAATTAGATTTTGATTTTGTTGAGAGTTTCAATTTTGCAGAACAAGTTCACGTTAAATTTACATCAATTTTACCAATGTATATGTACATTTTTAACATTTTGTTGCGTTCCATATCATAATTGCGACAACAATTTTGATCGTTTACTGAAAAACTTTGCATCTCTCTATGACCATGCATTAGTTGTACTTGGAATTGCGAATAGTTTATGTCTATCGAATCAATTTTACCGCTAAGCGATATAAAACTTGAAGTTTCACCTAACAGTCCTTAAAAAGTAAAACAATTGGTTGTTTGATTTCATAATAATTGGCAATTTTTGTGTAAAAAGGTTTTTGCGCATTCATTCGCAAAAAACATTTTATTTCGCCTTCGTTTTTGACATAGAAAAGTACAATCATAGACATATACACAAACAGGGTGTATGATCTAGATAATATGTGTATGTGCACAATTAACCAAACTTTTTTTTTACAATACAAATGCCTTCACAACTAAATCGCAACTGATTCGAGTTCTTAAGTGAAAATCCTAATCAATCTATCTTCATAATCAAGCAATTACATAACTAACGATATTCAACCATTGTATCAATCTTTACCCAGTTATGTCTGACCCAGAAGATGGTATAATTTTGTGGCCACAAAAGATTCGACGGAAATTCAAATGAAATGGGTGAGAGAAAGAGAGAGAGAGAACATACGCAGTAGATTGAGTCCATTGATTGTACAATTCTGTTCACACACACACACACACACACACTGAATGAGAGTGGTCCGTTCAAATATTAAATGTCACAGTAAATTGAAGAGTCTCAGAGTGATTTTTGGTAGTGTATTCAACATTTCGCCATTGGAGTGTATCTCTTTTTTCTGGTCCAATCAAATGGTTATTTTCACATTGGTTGGTCTGTGGTATTTGGTCAATATGAAATGGACGGAAGAATGGTGTGTGTAATTGCATTTCACGGAGCGCGTTCCGAGAGCGTGGAAAGTAGAAGGAGGTGGGTAAGAGTGCATGATTTTGTGACCCAGTACGGAATTCCGCTTCCATACAAAGGACGCGTTCTTTGTATGAAAACGGAATTCCGTACTGGGTCACAAAATCATGCACTCGGTGGGTGGGTTATGTAAATCGCATAACCAAAATCGCTTTTATTTATAATACCAATCTAATTTGCAGAAAATACAATTATGTGCCCAGAGTGCATCGGTTGTGTGGTATTTTCGTTGCAGACGAACAAATAATGATATAGCAAGAACTTCGTTAACAAAACGGAATTCAAAAGTATTTTGTTCTTAAGCGCATCAATTGTGCATGCTCGTACAAATTGATGGACACACTGCACTTCATTGTTATGCATTCGAGCAGCGAATAATTGTTTAGTTGAGTGACCATTTTTCACATTCTGCGGTCACATTCACCCATTTTGTCCTTGCCACACTGAATCGTACACACATTTTTGCATGGTTGCATACTATTTCAGACCAAATATCTAATGAACTTTTCTTTGTTTCGCTCTCATTTTTCCTATTTCCCTGTCTCTCTTTCGTTTTTTCGCTCCCTTTCCATCACGAAATTCCGTTTCACGCAAGCAAACATTTGCTAGATATATATATATATACTTTGCAATGCTCCTTTCATCTTAATCAAGTGTACTTTACCGAGCTTGAGTTGCACAAAACGTGCAATGGCAAATTTGATAAGTGAAAGAGAAGGAGAGGGGCGATGTGTAGAGCGAATGAGAGAAAAACAAGACCGCAGAGCTTCGCTTCGTTCCACTCTGCGTTCTCGAGATTTTAGTTATTTAATCTATTTTATTGTTTCACAACAAACTATTTTTTGGCGCACTACATGAAATGTATTTCATCAAAGTAACTTTGAAGTAATATACATATTTATTTTCAAAATGAATCACAAGATCTTGGTTTTATTTCTTTTTTAAAATATACTGCCTTTGGTTTGAATTAAATAAGTGTATAAATAATATGAGCATAGAATCTAAAATCACTTTAATTCTGTTCAAAACCCAGAAAATACTGTACGAAAAATGTATGTAATAAAAAAAAAAACATTTGATAATAAATATTTGATTGGCGCTTTGAGAGGTTGTGCACTTATTTGTCGTTAGTGCACCTGTTTTAAATTAAATAAAAAATATGAGCATAAAATTCAAATTCACCATAATTTGTTTTATCACTCAAAAAGTATTGAGAAAAAAAAATAAGCAGATTAGTAGCTCTACATTTCATGTAGTGCTAAAAATGGAGAAGTGAATAGTTTTCGCTTTGTTTTTATTCATTGCGTCCGTTTCATAATTAATTCGTTATTATTACGAATTCAAACCGAGAACGTTGACTATACAAGCAAATACTTCTCTCTTTCTATCTTGCTCACTCTCTCTCTCTCCCGCTCTCTCTCTGTTCCTTGCTCAGTACAATGCAAGAACAACAACAAAAACAACGCACATATACATACTCTACTTGACTTGACTTGACAAGACAGAACAAATAGCAAACCAGTGCTATTATTTTTTCCGTAGTTCAACTTCACATCAGAAAATAAATGCTCACCTTTTCTCTGTTCTTTTTTTCTCTCTGTGTGTGTATATATATTTCCAACAATGCACCGTTTTCATTCATCAAGTTCGAGAACGGAAGTGTACACAAACAATGACTGCCATTTGGAATTCCATCCATTGCATTTGGATGCCATTACAGAACAATGTCGTCCGACAAACGATCTCATTACAAAGTATAATGCATGGGGTGTGCAAATGAACAAAACGCAACACAATGCAGGAATGCAATTAAAACAAGTACCATTTGAGTTACTCTTTTGAATTTTATTTGACTTTAACTAGTTTTCTTTTTTAAATAGTATATATAGATATAAGTCCTTCAGCCGTACGGACTTTTATTTTATTTTATTTTTTCGGTTCTAATCGAACATTCGATGCGTTCATTGGGGTTCCGAATTAGCACAGACGTCAAAAAAAGTGCACATCGGAAATCTATGGATTTGTGAAAAAGCGAATAAAAAAGTATACGAAAATCGAATAGGATGAGGATAGCTCAAGAGCGAAATGAAGCCTGTAATCATGGTATAAATCTATAGTTGGCATAATTTCGCCCAATTCTTCGTGGCCTATTAAAATTGGTGCGAATCGTTCGAACTAGTTATCCACTAGCACCAAATGTACCGCCAATTCCTTGAAGTAAATCATTGACAGCGTTCAGTGTTGAAATGGGTATCTGAAAACATACAAACGAAACAGCATTTAACCGTATTCCCAATCAAAATACAATTAAGAATCCAACACTGTCTAATTAATCACCTTGAAAATGTTATCAAATAGTTTGTTTCGCGCCGCACGACCATTATTTTCCGATGGTGATGTCTGCATTGGATCCACGAGTTCAACATCGTCTGGCCGAACATTGTTCGAAATACGCTGTTGTGGTAAATGATATGACGCAGCTGGTGGGCCATAGCTTTGGCTGTCTTTTGTTTGTGCCCATACGCCCGAAAACTCCAATATAAAATTGGCGACGACTGTCAAAACAATAAACCAAACGATACGATCCATTGTATAGATGAATACCTAAATTTGGTGCGAAGAGATAGAGAGAAAGACGGAGAAAATATTTGTGGTGAGTTTATTCTTTATGGGAAAATCGAAATGATGAACACCATTGGTGTTTGCAACAAAGTCTATTTGAATTTGACAAAATCACTTGATGTAATCAGTATGAAGAGCAAATTGTTTGCCTGCATATTACGTATCGTGAGCGATATGGCTGTCGTTTGTACAAATATTTGAGATTGTTTCAGCACTATTGTTGCTCGAGATAACGACTCGACTTTTCAAAGCACACACACACACACATTATTTCTTCTTTTCTTTGTTGCTTCTTCATATAATCACGTCGTAACGCGTATCACGTACGTCGTCTGACGCTGTGTGTGTGTGTGTGTTTACACACCACACATGGGAGTCAAAATAGCAAGGATAAGTTAGCGCTGCTGTCATTTAGCGTGCACGAAAGAAGGTGCATTTTAACACCAACTTGAAATGTCTTTAACAGCCAAGGTCAATTTAAATATTTGAACAAGATTGCATCGCATTAAGCTAAACGCCACGTTTACATATTTCACGTATTAGTTTGCAAAGTGCCAGCCATTTCATGAAGAAGATGACGACGACGACGACGACGACGAAAAAAATCGTGTTTGTGCTCTCGAAGCTATTTTGAACCATTCAAGAAAACTTTAACCGAACTTAGACTCCATTTGACGACCGTACAAACATTTTTTTTCTCCATAGTTGCATGCAAAAGGCACTCGAATAATGACTGCAAACTCGTATAATATTTCAAACATTTTACACGACATGTGCATTACATTGAAAGAGGGAGAGAGAGAGAGAGATAGTCAGTTAACGAGAGCGCGCGCACGCACTCAAGAGCTATGTATGTGATTGGCGTAAGAAAATTACCATCATTCTCATATATGTTTGGCAATAAAAATGCAATCGAACATTCTTTGCGTGCAACAACACTCACATGACGTTCGGCATATTCCCTCCACTCAATGCGTTGAAATGCCAAAATGCAATTTGCACAGAGGAAAATCAGCTGATTTTATTTTCAATCGAAGAAAATAATATTTTTTACCGGATGCAGAGTACAAAAACGAGAAATGCGATAGGAAAAATAGGAAAAAAACGAGAATATTCAATTTGTATGAATACAAAAATGCCATTTCACAAGAGAGAAAGAGATCGTTTAAAGTTCAGAGCAGAAATTGCACCAATTCAACTATATTCAACTGACACATCTCTAGGGCATTTCATTCGTGCTTTCATAATCAGTTAAAAGTACATTCTATACTATGGCTAATGTAAAGGTCGTACAATATGCACGTATCTAAAATTCGTTCCAAATTTTAAAATAGCCAAAGGCAAATATATTTCTATAATTAAATTTACTGTACAAACTATTTTTAAAACTACAAAAATAGTCATGTCTGTGAATAAACCCGTTTCATTTGTAATATTTTGCTTTTTCCAAATTTGAAATTATTCAAATGCTAACGCTTGACAGATCATCTCTAATCTAGACAGTTTCACGGCAAACCAAGTTGAACGTAACCATGAGTGAACAATTTTCACTGAAACTGGTGCATATTTTGATAATTTGGTCAAGACTTTGAGTAGCAGGTGCCACAAAATACCGAAAATGACAAAAACACGCTACTTCAATTTCTGTGTGGAAGAATTTAGTGTTTTTCTGAGATTTTTGGAAGCTGCACTTGAACAGTTGGCCCAACATTTTGTCTATAAAATATTGCAATTTCTGAATTTATTTTTTTTATTTCTGTGTTTCTTGCTAACAGAATGAAAGAGTAACTATCGATTGAAAATTGAAACCAATTCGTTGGAAAACAAACTTCTACTCGCAAACTTTTAGAAGAGAAAATGATTGATCCCTTGTCATTTTCCAATAAATTTTTTTTTACTTGTTTTGATTTGTAATTTTTTTTTTTTTTTGTAAATACGTCGATTTCAAATCACGAATTTCTTCTTTTTTTTTCAACGAAAAAAAAAACAAATTGAAGCAATTGTTTGCTTTGTAGTGACAACTTACATGATCGAACTTCAAATTGGATTTCATAGTTTTTGTATTGGATGCACTATTCAGCAACATGATGAATGAAAATGCATCACTATATTTGATCTAATGACAATCAACACTCATTGTTTGATGCGTTGCAAATTTCATTTAGATATGATTTTTTCTTTTCACAATTCATTCGTTTATATTCCGTGCAGCAGAAATGCCGTAGAAATGGAATTCACATCCGTAATATTCAAATACAAATGGTTCTTAATTTTAAATGCAATCGGGCTATTTTCCGGCGACCAAATCACCCTAATTCACTGTCGAGTACGGATATCACGAGAGAGCGATAGAAGAGAAAGAAAAACTAATGGCGAATGCAATTTCCCGACCGAATTTGTGTCACGTTCAGAGTTGTTCGTTTTCCTGGATCCAGATTTCGTTATTTGGCACAAATGTGTCATTTACACAGATATTTTTTCCCTTCTACTTGGCTATTTTTGCTATTCGGGTAACATCAGTTGCGACGAGAGGAAAAAAAACACCAGCTCCTCGTCTCATAAGATTAAAAACAATTGAAAGTGCAATCAACTGAATTACTTAAATGAATTGCCCTTCATGTTAGGAAATGTTTCACTTAATTTTTGTCGTTTTAACAATGCTTCTTTTATTCCATTTTTCGACGAAATCCGTGTGTCCGTTTGTTAGTGTTGTGTTCTTATGGCTTGAATTGAAGCGATGCGGCCAAACGAATGCCAGCCGTGCAATAGACTGTATATATGCACACTTTTATGAAGCATGGCACAATGCCAATGGTGGAAACACCAAACTTGGAATTAGTTGATTTTCGCCAAAGCATCTTTCTTTCATATTTTCTTTCTCTCTTCGTGTAGTGTGTGAGCACAGAGAAAGAGAATAACCGAGATGAAATGAACGAAAGCAGAGACGAAGAAAAAAATCGACAAGTATGAAGAGGAAAAACGAACATTCAACGAAAGAAGTGAGACACAATGATGGCTATCGTTGTACGTGCTGTGTACAAAAAAAAACCGTCATTTTTATGTTGTTCATTGTATTTTGACTTTCACTGAAGAGACAAGTACATAGAGAAAGAAATACTCGATTTGGATATAGCATTTTGCAGTGCAGATTACGAGAGAAAAAAAAGCAACAGCAAAAGTAGCAGCAACCACGAAGTGAAAAGAAAAATCTGGGGATAAGCGTCACACAAGAGGAGAAGAAAAAAAAAGAAAAAAAAACAACTCCAACTCAAGCACAAGAAGAGACAATGCAAAAAGTGTTGTCGAGCAACAGCAGCAATGATACAAGTCATATTGGCTACAAATCAAAAAGAAAACGTGAGCTTAATCGCGCGCTATTACGGAAATTCACGGCTCTTGTACTTCTCGAACATTCGAATGCACCGCATGGATTTCTCTCTCTCTCTCTTCTTCTCTCTTTCTCTCTTTTTCTCTTTCTCTTGCACACATTCGTTCAACAAGAAATCGCACAATTCGCAATCATACCACCAACAAAAAAGACCGTCTCAATCGTAAAACGATTAACTCTTTGCACACACGCAAAAGTTTTCTTATGCTGTGATGCAAGAATTTCAGAAGAAAAAGAAGGAAAAAACACACACACATATATACACATGCCAACCGCCACGAATGCTGAAATAAAATAATCATGAGAACCAAAACGATAAGGTAACGAGAGTGTGTATGCTGATGCAAGGCAAAAATGTTGAAATCCAACCAAGACTTGTGTGCTACTACACACAAATCTTTCTTGCAGAAGAAGAAACTCGGCAATCCATCTGCAGCACGGCATTTATTGCGGAGCAGGCGAGGCGAGAGCGGGAGAGGCAGAGGGGGAGAGAGAGAGAGAAAGTGAACGACGGGGAAAGATGAAGAGTGAGTAAAACGGTGTGCGGGCAAAAAGTTTAGCGCCAGCAAAATGTGTACACGAGAAGAACAGAGAGAGAGAGAGAGAGAGAGAGAGAGAGAGAGAGAGAGAGAGAGAGAGAGAGAGAGAGAGAGAGAGAGAGAGAGAGAGAGAGAGAGAGAGAGATAAAAATGCGCTTACTCACCGATAAATTGCTGAAGCCAAATATTTAGCACGCAACAATAACTATGTTGCATATTACTTCATCTTATCGTATGTTGTGTGTGCTGCACGAGTTCGTTCCCTCACTCTTGCTCGTTCTCTCGCGCGCTCTAATTTATTTGTCTGTGTTGTTTTTCTGCAACAACTTTGATCGTTCGGTGTAATGAAGCACCCAAGAGAAACCAATCAAATTAATCTACGCTAAAATGATGCCAAGTTTAAGTAGTTCAATTTATTCAACACTGTTTGGATGCCCGCCAAGTTAAAAATGTATTGAAGATTCGGCGTAATTTCGGTGTGGAATAAATTAAGTTCAATACTATTTGTAATACAATTATATGTATTCAACTTGAGTTAAATTACTCCGAAGAAGTTTGTCCAGTATATTTTTAACTTAACATATAGGTGGCGTTGCATATTGATAATTTAAGTTCAAGTTATTTAATTTATTCCACACCGAAATTACGCCGAAACTTCAATACATTTTTAACTTGGCGGGCATCCAAACAGTGTAGAATAAATTGAACTACTTAAACTTGGCATCAATTTAGCGTAGAGTAATTTGATTTGTTTTTCTTGGGCAGCGTTGTCGCGCGCGTACTCGTGCAAGCATCAAATGGCGAAACAGAGCCGTCGCACTTATTTCTATTCGATTTTTGATTGCGATTGAATTGCGCGTTGCCTTTTCAAATTGGTTTTATTTTTTTCGCTTTACATACGGTTGCATCGATTGTTTGTGCCGTCGTTAGTTTAATAACATTTATCAGCAGTCGGTTGGATAAATCGAAGCAATGAATAAATCTACCCATTCAATTGGGTGGCAGAGATAGTGTGTGTGCGTGCAAAATGCATGGTGCTGAAAAAAAATGACGGTAGAAATATTACTCTGTCGCGTTCCATAATGATAACGCACGGCCATCATGCAATGTCACTTTCTTTCGCCATCGGACACACTTTGTATGTGTGTGATTTACACTGTGTCTTTTCACTCTTGATGCTGGTTGAATGGCAAGTGCATGTCTAACGCCCTTGCCTAATTGGCTTCAACTTGCCAGTGCTGTTTGCACACTGATATCGAATGCTGCAACATACATTCTTCGATCTTTTGCTCCTATTTCTCTCTCTCTCTCTCTCTCTCTCTCTCTCTCTCTCTCTCTCTCT